AACAGATCCTCAGAGAATCCAGGTAAGAAAAAGATAATTCAAAAGAAATATGCTGCCTAAGCTCAAAAAAACATAAACGACAGGATTAAGAATTTTGTCAGAAAACTAGACACCATAAAAAAATTTAGGAACTCTAACTAAAAGGTACACTAGTCAAAAAAGAAAACTTAATGGATAGATTCAACATGAAATTAGACATGACTAAAGAACGAATTGGTAAACTAGAAGATAAGTGAGAAGAAAATAAGCAACCTAAAGCATGGAGGGACAAATGAATAGAACATATTGAAAAGAGTATAGAAGACATATAGGATATAGTAAAGAGGTAAAAGGGTCTATTATATGTGTAATTGGAGAAAAGAGAGATAATAGGGCATAAGTAATACTTGAAGAGACAATGGCCTAGAACTTTCACTGATTGTTTCAGTCATATATTGGGATACTATAAAACAGTGAAAATGAATGGCCTCCAGGTGCGTCAGAACAACATGGGTTAATCTACATGTAATATTGAGGCAAGGAAGCCAAACACAAAGAGTACTATATGATTATGTTAACATAAAATGCAAACACAGACAAAATTACATTGCAATTTGAGAAGTCAGAACAGTGGTTATATCTTGGACAGAGGGAAAGATACTGATTTGGTGGATCATGAGGCAGTCTTCCGAGTGTTGATAATCATCTGTTTCTTGGTCTCGGCACTGAATACCCAGGCATATTTACTTCGTAATAATTCACATATTTTTTGTTTACTTTATTGTATATATGTTATATTTTACATAAAAGTTTAAAAACAAAATAAAAATAATTATTACATGTTAGTGGGAGAAAAATTATTAATTTGAGAAATAAAAAATATTTTTTCATTCTTTTTTTTTTTTTTTTTTTGAGACGGAGTCTAGCTCTGTCGCCCAGGCTGGAGTGCAGTGGCCGGATCTCAACTCACTGCAAACTCCACCTCCCGGGTTCCCGCCATTCTCCTGCCTCAGCCTCCTGAGTAGCTGGGACTACAGGCGCCCGCCACCTCGCCCGGCTAGATTTTTTTTTGTATTTTTTAGTAGAGACGGGGTTTCACCATGTTAGCCAAGATGGTCTCGATCTCCTGACCTCGTGATCCGCCTGTCTCGGCCTCCCAAAGTGCTGGGATAACAGGCTTGAGCCACCGCACCCAGCCTGTATTTTTTCATTCTTAAATCAAGAATTACATTTTAAGATTCTTATTTTAAATATTTGATTATTGGCTGGGCATGGCGGCTCACACCTGTAATCCAAGCACTTTGGGAGGCCGAGGCGGGTGGATCACCTGAGGTCAGGAGTTCAAAACCAGCCTGGCTAACATGGTGAACCCCCGTCTCTACTAAAAATACAAAATTAGCCAGGCGTGGTGGCGCATGCCTGTAATCCCAACTACTTGGAAGACTGAGGCAGGAGAATTGCTTGAACCTGGGAGGTGGAGGTTGCAGTGCGCCAAGATCACACCATTGCACTCTAGCCTGGGAAACAAGAGCAAAACTCTGTCTCAAAAACATAAAATAAATAAATATTTAATTATTAATAAGGCTATGGATTTTTCCAATTTTCTATTCTTTCTATAATTTCTATAATTTAGGACTTTCTTGATTTTATAAAATGGTCTAAAACACCTTACTTTAGAAAAAAGAAACTATGATGGTGCGTATACAATTTCTCTTCTACTTTCCATTTTTTCTGATTTCCAAAATAGTCAGATAGAATATGTGAATAATAAAAGCTACACGTGAATGTCTTCACTTTTTCAGAATCATGACCCTCTTTTAAATGGTAATACATGCAAGAAAAAAACTTCTAGCCACAATATTTACTCTAGTTTGGATATAAGGCAGCAAGTAACAAGAGGTGTTCATGTTAAATTATCTGATTAAGTCGAATCCTGATTGTTTGCTTGATATAGTATCCTTGTTGTATAATAATCTTTGTGATGATATCTGTGACCTTAAGTCATATTTGAATGAGGCTTGAAGAAAGTATATACAGTCAAAAACAGTTGAAACTATTTGATAATTTTCACAAGAAAACATCAGTATGCCAAATATAAGTAAATGCACGAAATTATCTTCACATTATTGGGTGTGAAGGCTAAAATCAAGGGGTCATTTCACTGTTTAACAAACTCTTGGGAACAGTACACTTAATCACTTATAATTGAAACTGTAAATAACTGTTGATTATATAAAACATGAATTACTCTGACACTTGCCGAGGGAGGTCTGAAAAAGCATTTATTCAATCAAGTATATGAAAAATAATACCTATCATCCTCAATAATAAATGGTGAAAATGCCAAGAGAAAAGTTATAAGAATTAATCTATATATCTCTGCATTCTTTAAAAGTTTACTTTTCAGAAGCAAATCGATCCTCAAAAGAATTAGGAAAAACAAATAAATTTCACTTTATAAATCAGTCATGGGTAGGATATCATCCACAATAATAAGAGACTTATAGAGGTCGCTCCTTTGTTTAAAACAAGAGTTTATCCACATGCTATTGTTTCTCTACATATTTTACTGGGAGAATTGGAGGGATAGTTTCTATTCTCTGTACCATTTCTCTGGTTATACATGTACCAAATTATTTTTGAAAAATCAAATTTATTTGTGATTGGTTTCATAGAATAATAGTGTTTTCCTTATATCCTTGGCATTTTTTATTAGCCTCCATAGTTCTTTGAGTCACAGAAATTTCTTTTTCATGCTTGGTAACTAAATTATCATATTTATTTTGACAATTTGAAAATATCTGTTTTAAAATAATGATTGATAAATACACCAAAAATGTACCTTTTATGTAATCTTATTCTTTTAAAGAAGGGTAACTTGCAAGAAAATGAAATTTAAATATACATCACTATAAGTTTTTTCATATAAATAAATTAATGAATGAGCAAGTGCTTAGACAGACAGTTGAACCTCTGTCAATGGGTTTATCACATCATCTTAAAATTGTTTATTTCTTTCTTCTTCTAGTGCATGTAAGCACTCCCTACATAGGAGCAATATCTTATTTAAATCCCCAGGACCTTATACAATATGGTGCTCAGTAACAATTATTGAATGAAACTGGGCCTTAAAAAGTAGTCTTATTCCTAGAATGCCCCAAGGTTGAGGCAATATCTGCTGGATGTGTTTTCACTTAAAATGAAGATTGAAGAGATGTAGAATGGCAATAGATAAGGCTATTGGGACAGGAACAGAAACAAATCTTTACTACATTCAGGCATAGACTATTACCAGACAGGTTAAACATTATATAGTTTCTATGAAAAACATTTTTATATTTTAAGAAAATATAAAAACTAAAGTGGAATTAAAAAGGAGGATCTGTCTGTAGTGTTCAGTAAATGTGGGTATTGACTAAACAGGAAAGAAACCACGACAGGGAGTAGCGGAGGAACAGGACTTCAAGGTATGTGTAAGTGGCTTGTCTACAGAAGTGGGAACCAGAGAGGAAAAAATGACTGAGTAATCATGAGTTTACAGTGAAATGTGATCAGAATTCATGAGAGTAATAAACCAAGGGAAAATTTCGTTAGTCAAGGCATAATCTAGGAAAGGTATGTTGAGTTACTACTGCTGAGTGATGGTTATGGAACCTTAGGAGGTGCTGCTAGACCTTAAAGGAATTCCCTTTTAGATATTCCATTGAAAGCTCAGTGGCTTATTTCTGCCCTAAACCCCTTTCATCCTCACCTCCTCAATCTGTAGTTGTCCCAACATCCACAGATTCCTCTGCTATTTTACTTTCAAGTATTAGTGTTCTGGTTTTCCACCTAAAGTTGGACTCACATAAGGATATCTTTTCTTAGGATCCATTTCCAAGTATGTGCATCGAGCATTTGACTTATCCTGTAGGTCTAGGTAGACTCTAATTTAATCTGTTCTTTCACTTACAATCCCTGGTTAAAGCTCCAAGTGAGGTTTTGGCTGCACAAGCTGATGCTAAAAAAGTGCATTGAGTCTAAAAGTACCATGGTCAAGTGAGATTGGAAATTCTCATTCTACACATGCCCAATAATTTGCCTTTGGGGTAATTTCTTCCTAACCCACATTCTTTTCTCCATCAGCTCTGTGCCAATCCTACTCATAACATGCATATACATAATTGCATTTACCATATGCTTTGTCTTGATTTTAAAAAGTAGTGGTGTTTTGTTTGCTTTAGGTATATACTTATTCTTTTACTCTTATATGAATAAATGTCACTAGATTTTAATAAATCAAATGTCAAAAAACTTTAGTATTCACCCATAGTCTTTGATAAAATATATTTTGTGGAATGTTTCATCCTTGAAAAAATAATTTCTCATAAAACTAATATTTCTATCTGCATCTGTGAAAATAATCCAATTTTTCAGACTATTAAACTGTGAAACAAAATGTAATTATTTGATATTCAGCTCCTATTTTCTTAAAAACATGTTATAATAAGAGAAATATTAATGCAAGCAAGAGCAAGAGTGAGTCAAGATTTAATACATATTCTCACCTAATTTTAGAGTATTTATTGAGTATTTGTTATATATTTAGCATGATGCTAGGCATTATGGAGGCATGTGTATATTTGAATCCTCCTAATGTGTATAGTTACAGATGTTTGGTAGAGTACATTATAAATTTATAGAAATAACTATAGTAAAGGTAGGCCAATAAAGAGATAAGAGGACAGTTACTTATAAAACACAAAGACTTCCTTGATGACAAACAGGCATGAACATATATAGCCTATTTAAAAATAAATAAAAATGGCTGAGTGCAGTGGCTCATACTTGTAATTCTAGCACTTTGGAAGGCCAAGGCGGGAGGATACCTTGAGCCCAGGAGTTCAAGACCAACACCTGGGCAACAAAGGGAGACCTTGTCTCTACAAAACAATTTTTAAAAATTATCTAGGTATAGTGGTACATACCTGTAGTCCCAGCTACTCAGAAGACTGAGGAGGGAAGATCACTTGAGTCCAGAAGATAGACAGCAATGTACTCTGTGCTACTGCACTCCAGCCTGGGCAACAGAGCAAATCCTGCCTCAAAAATTAATTAATTAATTAATTAATTAATTTAATTAAAGCAGCTGGTTAATATAAAAAACTTTAACCCCACTTGCAATCAACCAAATGGAAAATATGTTTAAATATACTATTTTTTAATTGGCCAAAAAAATTTTAAATGATGTCGTCCAATGGTATGATACAAAGCTATGCTGCAGAGCTGTACTGATAAATGCTTAAGGACTTGCTCTCTGGAGGGAAGTAAAACAACACCACCTCTTTGTAGTATTTGCTGATTTCTGTTTTATAAATACTCTCACCATGGCTGATTGCAAGCTACCAAATACACGTCACTAAACACTCAATTGGGAAGCTATTTATGATAGGCTTTCCTGAGCCAATCTGAGTAGACTCCAGCACACCTCTGATTGTGTGTACTCCTTGAAAAAACATGAATTAAGTAAATCTTTTGTAACACTGATTTGGCAATATGTTTCATTTGCCTTGAAACCATTTATGGCATTTTGACTCAGTAATCTTATTTCCAGAATCTATCCTAAATAACTTCAAATAATTTGTTAGCTTTACACAAATAGTTGCTTGCTGTCATAATAATTATGATAGTGTTAATAATTAAATAGTAAGTATAACACATCTACAGTGTGATAGCCATCATTAAAAAAAAGCATGTTTATAAAAGGTATGAAATAACAGGGACGATGCTTTCTTTACACAATTGAATTTAAAAGGCAAGAAAAAGTGATCATGTGTGGTATGAACACAATTCCTTTTTAAAACCTGTACCATGGAATACTAGGCAGCCATAAAAAAGGATGAGTTTGTGTCCTTTGTAGGGACATGGATGCAGCTGGAAACCATCATTCTTAGCAAACTATCACAAGAACAGAAAACCAAACACCGCATGTTCTCACTCATAGGTGGGAACTGAACAATGAGATCACTTGGACTCGGGAAGGGGGACATCACACACCGGGGCCTATCATGGGGAGGGGGGAGGGAGGAGGGATTGCATTGGGAGTTATACCTGATGTAAATGACAAGTTGATGGGTGCTGACGAGTTGATGGGTGCAGCACAGCAACATGGCACAAGTATACATATGTAACAAACCTGCACATTATGCACATGTAGCCTAGAATTTAAAGTATAATAATAATAATAAATAAATAAAAAATAAATAAATAAAAATAAAAAATAAAAAAAGAAGTGATAATATATTGATAATAATGGGTTTTGGTGCAATTTTTTCATTACTTCATAACCCAGCACCTAGGAAATATTTGAAAAATATTTATCAATCTTGAATATTTTCTGCTACTTTTCTACATTTTCCAGATTTGTTCTAATATAATCTACTTAGATACGCATTAAAAAGAACTTTCCTTGTGCTAGGTATGAGAGAAGTATAAAACCAGGGTTGCTGGCTTGAGAGGATTATGGGAAAATAAGATCTGAAACAAGTAGGGAATGACAAGTAGTGGAAGAAGAGAAGGAGTACAGAGGAAAGAAGGTATGCAAGATGATACTTAAGTTAGAATCGCATTTCCTTAACCACAAAACTTTTTTTAAGATTGAAAGCCCATATATAAGGACAGAAAATAAAAGAACTAGTTCATGGAGAAAAACAAAGTTCAAAGCAAGAGCCCCCATGATTTGTCAAGAGATTAATCTAAATCACATTAAGAGGGCTAGAGGTTGGCAAAGTATAGCCAATGGAGCAAATTTATCCCATTGCCTATTTTTTAAAATAAAGCTTTTTGGAACACAACCATGTCCACACATTTGCACACCGAGCAGTTGAGACAGAGAATATATGACCCACAAAGCCTATAATATGTACTACCTGACCCCTACAGAAAAAGTTTGGCAACACTTGATCTAGAAAAGAAAGTTCAAAATGTAAATATTCCGCATTTTTAAACAAAATTCTGTGAAATTAGATCTATCTAATCATTAGAAAATGTCTTCTGAAAAGTCAAAGTGTCTGACTTGACTTCTCTAATTTCCCCAGTCCTTTGTGTGAATGTGTGTGTGTGTGTGCACACATGTGCTTAGTGGTAAATCCACTTAGAAAGTCAAGGCCACATACTGTTACATTAGAATTGGAAGATAGATATAAAATGCTCTAAACAAAATAGAGATTAATTACAAATTTGAATGCATTAACATTATATGAATGGCCAATTCAATAACTGATTATGTGAAAAATTAATTGCTTGCTTAAGTGGACAACCACACCCCACCACATATCCTCTCTCAGCCCACATAGGTGTTCCATGTCTCCTGGACTTCTCAAATGATTTGGCATTCATATGTCATGGCTTCAAAAGCCAGACACATGTTTTTAACATTCAATTATCTATTCATTCTATAAACATAATACATGACAATTTTGCATTGAGAACTATATTAGTATTTAGGAATATAGTAAAGAAAGATGGTACTTGACCTCAAAAAGAATGTCTCTCCCCCACTCCCTCCGCCACCAATTTGTTATATGTTATAGGACTCCTTCCAAAAAGTACACATTCCTAGGGCAATTAGTTTATGTCTCTATAATGAAATGGACAAATAAATAAAAATAGCTGCTGTTACAATTGATACTGAGAAAATGTGGTTTGGTTTGTAAAAGTATTTATCAGAGCCTTTTGCTTGTACCCAGAATTGCTCCCAGGATGGTGTGGAAAAAAGAGGTTGAGATTGAAAGGAGCAAATTTATTCTGCATAACTAAGTGTATTTAACTTTTGATTCTACCTGGTGACTTGGGAAGTTATTTCTAAAACTTGGGAATGGAGATGGAGGTGGATTTTGGTTAGTGTGAGGATGAACCCTGGCAGTGTGTTGGGGGTCTGGAACCAAAAGAAATACATCATGAGTGAGTAATTTCCATACGCATCCTGACCTAAGTGAGGAATTTCAAAATAACTTAGTACCCAAGTGTAGTTGGTGTCTATACTATAATGAACCTCCATTGTCTCTAAAGCCTGTTACCCAACACAATAGCCTCATATATGTGCTTCTTTTGGAAAGGGAGACATGTCCACACTTGGGATAAAGCCCTGAGAACCAGGAAGAGACAGGCAGGAGTGGTGATAAGTGATCCAGGACTGACCCTGGAGTGAAAAATGCGCTTGCTAGGTGATTGTCAGCACCACCAGGCAGGAATCATCATAAACAACAGAAATGGCACTGGACTCCTCAGATTGTGTGGGATGGAGCCTTGAGTTATTTTATTGGACACAAAAGAAGACTTGGAGACTTGGAAACTTTCAGCTTACTATTATAAACCTGATTTTTGTTTTATGTTATGCTTATTTACATCACATCAACCTCCTTCAGTGGGATGCAAGCAGAAGTCACATTTATCTTTACATTCCTCCTGTACCAAGCGTAGTGCATTATAGAGTAGGGGCTCATTAAATTAAGCAGAAAAAGAATTTCAAAATCAGAAAGAAGAGATGATCTTAGCTTCACCATAGAAGCAATATAGAATTGACTGAGGGCTAAATAAACTACTTTTGTCTAGTTGGGTGTCCCCAACTAAAATAGTGTCTCTAGAGTTAAGACTGGAGAAGTTTGGGAAGTGTGAATGTTGGAGAGGAAAAATTAGATAGGACTTTTCTGTAGCAAAACCTCAAGCTAGGAAAACAAATGTTTTTAAGAAGGAGAATATATTTACCTGTTAGGTAAAGAGAAAAAAGGTGTCCCTAATGTAAACTTGATTTATTCTGAGGATCACACACAATATGGGCCAGAAATTTCTAAATATAGCAATATAATAAAAAACACTAAAAACAGATTTTTTTCAGTTTATTAAAAGCATATGCTCATGTTCAACCTTGTGGGATTCTGATATCCTTGGTCTGGGTGAAAGACTAAAATCTATATTTTTATTGTATTTCCCACAACCCATTAAAATTCTAGAGGAAATTTCCTACTCCTCTTGGTCTTTTTAACTTGAGGTCTGGCATGTTTACTGAATTAATTAACAATGTGTTCACCATGCAAAATTGCTCTCTTGCCTTCATAAATTAGAAATTTGTCAATAAAAATACTTTAATGCAACCTATTTCTCACTTTGTTTTGCTTTAAATGAATTCTCATAATACCAGTATTATATATATTGAATACACTTCTCATTCTGCTTGATAAGTAGAAACTTAGAGAATGGCTAAAATAAGGCTGTTGGCTAGGAAAAAGACACAGCAAAAAAAGAAAAAGAAAAAGACAAAAGAGTACTGAATAAACATGTTTTTATTATGTGATCAATGACCAAGATGATATTGAAAGCACATATAACAGAAAATATTATTTTTGTGCTTCGGATTTCCAATCTACAGTCACGGTCTTGTACTTACTTTGAATAGTATGATAGATGGATGGATGGATAGACAGATATAGATAGATAGATAGATAGATAGATAGATAGATAGATAGATAGATAGATAGATAGAGACACACGGATTCATAGATGAGAAGAGATAGATAATAGTTTGATAATAGATAGATATATAAACATAGAAAGATGGCTAGAGATAAAGTTGGAGATTTTTTTAAAAGTAAGAAATCCTGGAATTTAAGAAATGCCACACAAAAATACAAAAGAGAAAGGGAAATAAAGATTTCTTTCAATGTAAAGTTTTTATTTGCTGTTTAACCTTAAAAATAATAATGTCAATTTCTATCACACTGTCATGTGATTATACAATGAAGTTGGTTTCAGTATTGTCATTCATCTGTTCTAATTTCAGGTATCAGATGTATTAAGCAGTTCAAACTGAGAGTGTAACATTACCTTTTTAAAACCGTGTTTTAGATTCAGGGGGTACATGTGCAGATTTGTTACATGGGTAGAGTTTGGGCTTCTAGTGAGCCCATCACCCAAATAATGAACCTAGTACACAATAGGTAGTTTTTCAACTATCATCCCCCTCCTTCAATTCATTCCCCCTTTTGGAGTTCCCATTGACTATTATTTCCATCTTTATGACCATGTGTACCCATTATTTAGCAGTC